AAAAAAGAAAGAGACCTACTGCAAACTTCCCTAGGCAGCATTTTAAAGCCTTGTGTCAAACTTTCAAAATCCCAAGAAGATAAACACAATTGTTAAACATTTAATGTTTCTTATACCTGGGTTACTTCTTTTAGTAAAATGTATGATAGACTTGGGGTTTCTGGATCCTGTGCTACATGTGCATTGGGGGCCCTTATAAGTTGCACAAAACATTTATGCACAAAAGAAGGATAGAGAATGTGTATGTCTAGGACATAAAGGTCCTTTATAACTATTTATTACATGAATACATGAAGTTCATTTTTAATTTGTGAAGACATTTATTTATTTTATGACATGGTTTGTTGTAGTCATGATTTTACTTAAAGTTGAATCCTTTTCTGGGAGCAAAGCCCCAATAATTACCTTGGAAAAATAATCCACTTTAAAGTTATACTATTTACAACACAATATCTAGAAATTCATTGAAGTGAAAAGTGGGCACTGGTAATGTATCTGTGTAGGTGGATCATGAATGAACATACTTATGTACACATATAGATCTGAATATCTCATTAATATTAAGGACCTAACTGGGCATTTCTCATAATTCATATTAGATTCTGTAAACATCAAGAGTGCATGAAAGGGGCTGGGGATGTGGCTCGGGCGGTAGCGCGCTCGCCTGGCATGCGTGCGACCCGGGTTCGATCCTCAGCACCACATACCAACAAAGATGTTGTGTCCGCCGAGAACTAAAAAAATAAAAATATTAAAAATTCTCTCTCTCTCCTCTCTCACTCTATCTTAAAAAAAACAAATAAAATAAAATAAAGGTATCGTGTCCATGTACAACCAAAAAAAAAATTAAAAAAAAAAGAGTGCATGAAAGTAGACTAATATATATATATATATACATACATATATATACACACACACAGCTATATGTCAATTCCCATGGATATTACATTTTTTATAATTTAGATAATTTGTTTTTTGTGCTGGGAATCCAAATCAGAGCCTAGGGACCCAACTCAGGGTGCATGCTAAGGCAAGTACTCTGCCACTGAGCTACATCCCCAGCTATGTATAATTTTATGGAATTAAGTTAGCTATTATTTCTAGCAGTACAAATTTTCATCATACTTTTTTTTGTGTGTGCTGGGAATTGAACCCAGGGCCTTTTGCATGTAAGGCAAGCACTCTACCAACTGAGCTATACCCCAGCACCCATACTTTAAAAATATTTATTTTTTGGTTATAGGTGGATACAATATCTTTATTTTTTAATTTATATGGTGCTGAGGATCGAACCCAGTGCATCATGCATGCTAGGCAAGTGCTCTATCTATGAACCACAACCCCAGCCCCCATACTTTTTTCTCTAAATGTTTATTTTTTTAGTTGTAGTTGGACACAATACTTTTATTTTATTTATTTTTATGTGGTGCTGAGGATCAAACCCAGGGCCTCACACATGCCAGATGAGTAATCTACTGCTGAACCACAACCTCAGCCACCCCATACTTTATTTTAAATATTTTTTAGTTGTAGTTGGACTCAGTACCTTTATTTATTAATTTTTATGTGGTGCTGAGAATCAAACCCAGGGCCTCACATGTGCTAGGTGAGCACTCTACTGCTAAGCCACAACCCCAGCCATATATTTTTTTAAGAGACAGTGTCTTGCTAAGTTGCTTAGGGCCTCTCTAAACTGCTGAGGATGTCTTTGAACTTATGATCCTCCTGCTTCAGCTCCTGAGCAGCTAGGATTACAGGAGTGTACCACTATACCAGGCAGGGAAATAATCTTTGATGTAAGCAATGAGGAACAAGTGAAGATTCCAAATGATACAGGGATTACAATTAGACTCAACTTTAAATTTTCTTTTTTCCCCCTCTTTTCTTCTCTCTCTCTCTCTCTCTCTCTCTCTCTTTTTTTTTTTTTTTTTGGTTTCTTTGTTTGGTGCTAGAGATGGAACCCAGGGCCTTGCACCTGGCTAAGCAAGTGCTCTACCTCTGAACTACATCCCAGCCTAGAGCTGAGCCACAACTCCAGCCCCCTCAATACTTTTTAATAAGTCTAAAATTAGTAGGTTTCAGAAACAATAACCTCAAAAAACTAGGAGGACCATCCAGGTGTTATTAATTTCTGGGTCCATAAAATTAACTTTTATTTACTAGTGGAATATATACTTATTACATATATATAGTGTTAGCGTATACAGACAGTCTTTGACTTATAATGTTTCAGCTTTAAATTTTTTTTTACTTTATAACAGGGCAAAAAAATACATATACAGTAGGAAACCTAATTTTGAATTTCATCTTTCCCCAGGCTAGTGATATGCAGTATGATAGTTTGTAGCTATGATGGGCAATGCTGGTGAGCCAGGTGCAGCTTCCAGTCAGCCATGTGATAAGGGGTATAAGGAAATAATCCATACTCCACCAAGTTCTGTGTTAGTAAGTTATGAAGTTTGTTAGGTGTGTCAAATGCATTTTCAATTTAATGATACTTTATGATAAATAATGATGAACAGGTTTTAGGGGTCATAATCCCATTGTAAGTCAAGGAGCACTGTATATAATCTAAATCATATTATCTACTTTCACTCATCTCAAACTGTAACAATATCTGTTTATAATGTATTTGTTATTAAATGACAGGCTCCCAGGGTAATGTGAGCATTGCCAGGAAAGGAAGGATATTTGGTAAGAAACCTGACAGCTTGGGGTCTGGACTTTTTTGTATGTTCATAAACTCAATATTGTAAATGTCACAGAGTTGATTGATGCTGGGAATGTGGATTCACACTAAGGACTTTCACAAGAGATTGATATATAAATCAGAAGGCCATTTTTATAAAGACAAACATATTTGTTTACATAGATTTGAAAATAGCAAAGTTTTTCCCTATGGAAGGGTCTTCATGGGAAGCCAAATTACAATCTGAAGATTATTGGTACCATAGAATTAAGACAAGGTAAGTTAGTTGCATAATACCATTTGCTATGATTGCTCTAATTGTCCGTCTCCCCAATATTAACTAGAGTATTTGTTCCCTTGTGTATTTGTTTTATTGATCAGGGCATAGCTATCCCATTTCTTGAGTAGTGCCTAACTCAGATTTTTAGACAATTTCTTCTATGCTTTCTTTGATGACCCAAACCCTCAAACTGGCATAATTTTGTTTTCAACTAGCTTTTCTTTTAAAAATTACATCATCAAAATGTGTTTTTTAGGGCTGGGGTTGGCAGAGTGCTTGCTTTGCATGCACAAGGCCATGGGTTCAATCTCCTGCACCACACACACAAAAATGTGTTTTTTAGCTGTGTCAGATTACATCAGTAGTGCTCACCTAAAGGCTTTTGAGCCATATCCCCAGCTCTTTTTTATGTTTTATTTGGAGAGAGGATCTTGGTAAATTGCTCAGGGCCTTGCTAAATTGCTGAGGCTGGCTTTGAATTTGAGATCCTCCTGTTTCAGCCTCCAGACCGCTAGTATTACAGGTGTGCACTCCCATGCCCAGCTGAGGCTGTCTATCTTTCAAGTAAATTATCTCTCTTGGTTTATAGTTCAACTTTTAAGTATGGGGAGGTAGAGGACTGGAACCTGATGACTTTTATTTAATAATTTTATGGGGGGTTGGGCGTGGTGGCGCATGCCTGTAATCCTAGCGGCTCGGGAGGCTGAGGCAGGAGGATTGCGAGTTCAAAGCCAGCCTCAGCAGAAGTGAGGTGCTAAGCAACTGGGTGAGACCCTGTTTCTAAATAAAATACACAGTAGGGCTAGGATGTGGCTCAGTGGCTGAGTGCCCCTGGGTTCAATCTCCGGTACCCCCACCCCCAAAAATAATTCAATGGGGGTACCTTACTGTGGTTAGTGGAGTTACTAGATAACAAGCAGGATGCTCAATTAGATTAAGACAATTGAGTACTATATATTTTCAGTGTAAGTATGTTCAAATATCAGATATACTTACACTAGAAGAGTATTCATTGTTTATCTGAAATTCAAATTTAGGAGTCTTGCATTTTTATTTGCTAAACTTGAAAACCATACCAGTATATTAACATGAAGCTATGAGACTTGCTTGAGTTCGTGCTGGTTGGTATGCAGTAATCCATTTGGGTGTCTCAGGGAACAAAAACAGACCCACTTAAAAAAAAAAAAGTTAAACGTAGGTACCACCAAAGCGTGGGAGAATCTTGACCCTTTGAGGAACCCGTAACTGACGCAACTGTTATAAAGGCTGTTTTGGTGGATTCCCCGCCTCCTCCATTCTTCCTTCCTGCAACAAGAAAGAACTGTTCTAACACTTCTTCCTTCTCAAGTCCCGCCCTTTCAGCTGTCCTCAATGGAGAAGAATCGGTTACCCAAAAGGAGCCTGTGAGAGCGCCGACGTGGAGTTCAGAGGAGCGGAAGTCGTCAGATTTCACTGAGAGCCGTAAAGCGCGTCTGGCTTGTTCACCTTCCGGATAACGACAACAGCTCCGACTCTCAGTGCCGGCCTTCCTCGTGTAAGGGGATCTGCCGGACCCTTGCTAATTCAATTTCTTTCCCTTTCCGGGCCCTTCCCTATCGTCGCCCCCTTCACCTTGGATCATGTTCAAGAAGTAAGGACATGTGTGGCCTCCATAGGCTGCTCACAAAGGCGGTGGGAGTGGGGTGGGGAAGAGGGCGAGAGCAACAATCCTCTTTCTCTCTCCCCCGCCCCTGCCATCCTGACTCCCTAAGGTTTTCTATAGTATATGCTCTCACTCGCAACTTGCAACACTAATTTAAATTTTCAATCCCTAATCCTCAATCTGGCTTCAGTCCCTCCACTCCCATTTTCTTTCTCCTTAACTCTCTTCTTTTGCCCCCCCCCCCATCTATCGCCATTCCTAGGGTTCTACCAATCACATTCTTGCACTGTGATTTAGGGGCATATCCTCTTTAGGTGAGAGGGGAGCCCTGCACTCGCTGCCATATGTTTATTAGTTATGAACTGAATAAAGGAAGGCTTGACTTCCTGGGTCATGGGAGTGAAGGAGTCTGGGTGACAGGAAGCAAGCGGCCTGTCATGCTTATTGCCTAGCTGCCAGATTAACCTTGTCTTGGAAATAACGTGATTGCCCCGTAGGCTATTCAGTGTAAGGAAGACAGAATTCCTTGGGAACCTACCTAGTGGGTTTACCTTCCACATTTGGTAGAGGCAAAAAGCAAAGGGGAACATGGGCAAAGGAAGGTGGGTTTTGTGCATGAAAATTTGAGAAAAATAGATAGGGATCTTAAAAATTATATCATCTTCACCACTTTAAAAAAATGTTAGCAGAGTACACTGCCTAAGAACAGCTGATTTTTCTGTGTTATGCTTGGATTTGGCCTTTTGCAACTTAATGCTTAAGGCTTTTTTTTTTTCTTAGCAGGTTTTATTATTGATGGGAATCTGTTTCTTCCTTTGTGTAAGATTAGGTAGCTGATTACAGATTATAGTGCAAACTGTGTTTTATCCATAACCCCTTCCCCCAGCTAATTGCTATGTATGTGACAATTTATTATTAAAACATGGTTTTGTATTGGCCAAAAAAGGGAAATGGTGTTTCAAAAAACAGTTTATTTCATAGTTATTCTAAGGATTGAGTACTATCTTGGGAATAGATGGCCAATAGATTACCCAATTAGAACAGTAATCTTTAGATATTCTAATAGTTTTGCTTAGCAATGCCTTTTTTTTTCTTGCAAAAATCACTTGGCAGGTTTGATGAAAAAGAAAATGTGTCCAACTGCATCCAGCTGAAAACATCTGTTATTAAGGGTATTAAGAACCAGTTGATAGAGCAATTTCCAGGTATTGAACCATGGCTTAATCAAATCATGCCTAAGAAAGATCCTGTCAAAATAGTCCGATGGTAAGTCTTTGCTTTTCTCTGTGTAAAGCTTAGAGTAGCTGAATGTTTAATGTTTATGTTGCTCTTATTCTAAATGAAATTATTTTCACATTAACTATTGATAGATTAATGATAATAATAGACACAGTGACAATAAAACTTACCATGTATTTGTATTTTCAGATATTTCCTATATGCATGAAAAGTGTGGTTTTATGTATTGATTGTTTTATTAAAGGATTACATTGTAAATTTAGAGATGAACTTATTCCTGTTTGTTTTTTCTTTAGAGATATGTTTTATTATCTAACAATAGAATTCAAATAATAAAATGTAAAATAAAATTGGTTGTAGCAGGACATATTTTCTCTGCTGGACTGATACTATAGGAAAAACAGTGTGAACAATGTTTTTTGGCCAGGGTCTTTATTTAAAAGTTTACTATATCTCTGTATATGCTTATTTCATGTTGTAAATTTTAAAGGATATTTTATTTACATTCATTTTCGAAAGAATATCTAACTTGGTACTTTGTGACATTTGTCTTATAGCCATGAACATATAGAAATCCTTACAGTAAACGGAGAATTACTATTTTTTAGACAAAGAGAAGGACCTTTTTATCCAACCCTAAGGTTACTTCACAAATGTAAGTCTCATTAGAAATGCACATTTGAAAGGTGTTGAAAGTGACTACTGATAGTTAATTTGTTATTTATTAATACTAAATAATAAGGAATATAAAGCTAAAGTGAATGCCCATCTTGCGGTAAATCAGAAAGATGCAAAATCTCCAATTTTGCATTCCAGAAAGCCCAAGAAAAAAGCATTCATTCATTCAACAAATATTTATTGAACTTACTATATGCCAGGCACTAAGTTAGGATCTGAGAATACTACTTGAAGCAAAGACAAACATGGTCCTGTCCTTATGAAGCTAGCTGAGAGAATAAACAGCAATTAGATAATCACACAAATATGTAGCCATAAACTGTGATAATGGTCAGTAGAGATAATTCTGTATATAGGAGAGCATTGGCTAAATGTGGGAGTCCCAGTTATTACTAGTTGAGTGTCATGATCAGATGTTGTGAAACCAAATACTGTTTATTTCATACCCACATTTATAGTTATTTGAGTATATTACAGAAGAAAATCATGAAAGATATGATGCCAGTGTACATAAGAGGTTTTCAAAATGGGAAGCAAAATTTCTGTTTTTTAGTCTGGTATTCTGTCCAAGAGGCAGAAGGAAAGGGAATGAATGGCAGGCTCTGTTGTTGTTGTTGACTGAATGAATTTGGCTTTTTGGTAAGAGGAGATAAATTTGAAATTACTTAGTGGTAGAGAGGTCAGGAGAAATGTGTTAGGCAGGTCTTTATAAGGGAATAGTTACACCAGGTGTGGTGGTGCATGCCTATAATCCCAGCAGGAGGCTGAGGCAGGAGGATCCTGAGTTCAAAGTTCAAAACAGCCTCAGCAATTTAGTGAGACCCTGTCTCTAAATAAAATACAAAAAAGGGCTGGGGATGTGGCTCAGTGGTTAACTACCCCTGGATTCACTCCTTGGTACCAAAAACAAAAATAACAACAAAAAAACCAAGGGAATAGTTAGAATTATTTGATTAAGTATTGGTTTTGTCAGGTTACAAAAAAACTGATGGAGTGAAATTGAGTCTTGATGCAACAAGAAATTTTTTTTTTTTTTACAGAGAGAGAGAGAGAGAGAATTTTTTAACATTTATTTTTTAGTTTTCGGTGGATACAACATTTTATGTGGTGCTGAGGATCGAACCCAGCGCACCACGCATGCCAGGCAAGCGTGCTACCGCTTGAGCCACATCCCTAGCCCAAAGAAAAATTTTTAAATGAGAATATTTTGGTGACATTAAGACATTTTGATATGCCTATTAAACTATGAGCAGAGACAAAATCAGATGTATTTCTGTTTTGAAAAACCAACAAAAATTCAAGCCTCTCCCCCCAAAATGTAAAAGACTTTCCTGAACTATTGGGAAAATTTGAATATGGTTTGGCTCTAAAATGGTAAAGTAGAATTATTAAATTTTAGGTATGACGATAGAATTGTGGTGGTATAGAATGGCTTTATTCTTAGGTTTGCTTATTAATGATGAGGCATTATGTCTGAACTAATTTTCAAATGATAGAAGAAAATATGTGTGTATAAATAGAGTTAGAATGAATAAAGCACAGTGTTAATGAATAATTATTAGATGTAGGTGGATAGTGTCCAGCTATTTCAATTTTTCTATAAATTGAGCATTATCATAAATTTGGGGAAAAGGATGTTCCTATTTAATAATATTGTGTGGGATCAGCCTTTTAGAACATCTTACTTATTTTTATGCAAAAAGTAGAATAAGGACTGGGACCATGGAGCATGCCTGTAATCCCAGTGGCTTGGGAGGCTGAGACAGGAGGATTGTGAGTTCAGTGCCAACCTCAGCAATTTAGTGAGGTGCTAAGTAGCTCAGAGAGATCCTGTCTCTAAATAAAATACAAAATAGGGCTGGGGATGTTGCTCAGTGGCTGAGTGCCCCTGAGTTCAATTCCTGATATCTCCCCCCAAAAAAAGAAAAAGTAGAATAAGTGCTGGGGTTGTGGCTTAGTGGTAGAGCACTTGCCTAGCATGTATGAGGCACTGGATTCGAGCCGTAGCACCACATGAAAATAAATAAATAAAGATATTGTATCTATCTACAACTAAAAATATTTTGAAAAAATAGAATAGTATGGTGGTTTAAAACATGAACATGGATTCTATTCCGGGTACATATCATTTGACAAGTCATTTACCTTCTTCAAGCTTTGTTTTCTTATCTTTAAAAATGGGACACTAAAGTGGGCTGGGGATATAGCTCAGTTGGTAGAGTGCTTGCTTCACATGCCCAAGGCCCTGGGTTCAATCCCCAGCCCCACATACATAGACACAAAACAGATACTATAATTGTGTGTCTCCTGGGCTGGGATTGTGGTTCAAGAGTACTTGCCTAGCACGTGTGAGGCACTGGGTTCGATCCTCAGCAGCACATAAAAATAAAATAAAGATATTGTATCCACCTAAGACTGACTGACTAAATAAATAAATATTTTTTTTAAGAAATTGTGTATCTCCTGTGGGTTGTGAGGATTAAATGAGACAGTACATATAATATACCTAACATAATGCCTGGAAAGCAGCAGGCATTCATCATATGACAACTATTACAGTGAAGTAGTAATTGTTCAATACGTGTTTACTACTACTTATTATGATTATCATCATCATCATCAAGGGACTGTTATTAATGAGGTTGAAGATCTAAGAAACAAATTATGGTTTGTGAGTAGTGAATACATTCAGTCAGGTTCCCTTGTTTTTGTACTTTAGTAATAATTGGATGTAAGTAATCCAATACACTAACAATAGTTATTTCGATTACTTTGGTGTTATGCTTAAATTAATCTGATCTTTTTTGTTTTTGTTTTTAGTACTGAGGATTGAACCTAGGGGTGCTTAACTATTGAGCCACATCCCCAGCCCTTTTTATTTTTTTATTTAGAGACATTGTCTCTTTAAGTTGCTTTAAGGCCTCACTAAGTTGCTGAGGCTAGCTTTGAACTTGCTATCCTCTTGCCTCAGCTTCTCCGGTTGCTGGGATTACAGGCATGTGCCACCACACTTGGCTAATCTGTGATCTTAATAAGAAAAAGACTTAATCTGTTCTTCCACTAGTGAGAAATCTAGTGGTAAGACATTAAAATTAAGAAATTTTACCTATTATTATCATTTCTAGAGAGTGCTGAAAAGCTTAAAAAGTTTTTCTCCCATTGTTTGAAACCCTCTAGGGATCCTTTACCTACTTGGTTATGAGTTATTAGTAGACATCACACACATGCAGTTTTTTAAGATTATAATAGGATATGTGCACATATTTTGGTAAATACAGAAATAACCAATAATTACTTATTTCTATGATCTAGAATTAACTATTGTTAGCATGTTGGATTACTTACATCCAATTATTACTTACATCCAATTATTTTCTGTAATATGTGTAAATGCTTATTTTGGTGCTAGGGATTGAACCTGAGGCCTTGTATGCACTCTACCACTGTACTATACCCCCAGCCTGTTTGTCCTCTTAAGATTGGGCTCTTTTTTATGTAGTTTCCCCTATTACTAACATCTTACATTGGTACTATACAGTTACAATTTCTGAACGGATACTGATGCATTATTATTAATGAAAGTCTATAGTTTAAATTCAGGTTTACTCTTCCTTTTGTTCAGTTCTGTGGTTTTGCCAGATACATAGTGTCCAGTATCCAGTGTTACAGCATCATATAGTAAAACATTCCTGGTATTCTACCTATTCATCCTTCCTCCTTCTCCCCTACCCTGACCCCTAGTAACCTCTGGTGTTTTTCAGTTTTTTATTCTGCTTTCTTCATTTATCATGAACATTTCCTAGGGCATTCAGTGTTCTCTAAAAACAATGTTCTATTATATATGTGCATGACTTTTTCATAGACATACCTTAAGTCATTTATCTTTACCTTATTGTTAGACATTTAGGTTGATCTCAGTTTATTTCAGTCTTATTAATTTATATAATTTATTTCTTCTCTTCTAGATCCTTTTATTCTGCCACACCAGCAGGTTGATAAAGGAGCCATCAAATTTGTGCTCAGTGGAGCAAATATCATGTGTCCAGGCTTAACTTCTCCTGGAGCTAAGCTTTACCCTGCTGCAGTAGATACCATTGTTGTATCCTTCCCAGGCTCTAACTGCTAAAAAATGTATTCATTGTGTTCTTGTCATTAATGAATGATCTATCATCCAAGAGAACACATTATATGTACTTTTATAGAGGATACTGTTCCTGTTGTTCATGCCTTTCTGATTATAGTTGAAGTAATTGTTTCATTTGAGGTAGTTTCATAGAAATTAAATGGAATCGAGTTATAAATTATAAGTCACAGCTGCTGGGTAGCAGTGCATTCTGTAATCTCAGCTACTTGGGAGGCTTAGGTGCGAGGATCACAAGGTGGTCAGCCTTGGCAACTTAGGGAGACCCTGTCCCCAAAAAAATGTGTCTGGGGGGAGGATGGGTGTATGTTTCTCAGTGATAGAGTGCCCCTGAGTTCATTCCCCAGTGCAGAGAAAAAAAAATCCCAGCTGCATTGCAACCCAGCCCAGTTAGGGCTTATTGTTACTAGATTCAGGATACAATCTAACACAATCTAACTTTTGATTACTAATCAGAAGAATACAGGTGATATGAGTGGATTAGTATTTTGGACATTAACTTACCTCTCTTATTGGGGATTGAAACCAGGGACACTTTATCGCCAAGCTATGCCCCTAGCCTTTTTATTTATTTATTTTTTAGTTTTTGGTGGACACAACATCTTTGTATGTGGTGCTGAGGATCGAACCTGGGCCGCAGCATGCCAGGCGAGCGAGCACGCTACCGCTTGAGCCAAATCCCCAGCCCCCTGTCCCTAGCCTTTTAATTTTTTTTTTTTAAGACAGGGTTTTACCAAGTTGCACAGGATGTCCTCAAATTAATTTGTGATCCTACTGCTTCAGCTTCCTAAGAAGCTATGATTAAAGGCATGCACCACTACACCTAGCTCCCAAGTAGATATAAGGATCTATTCAACTCCTGACGTAGTTGAATCATTCTGCATTATTTGTATTTCTCTATGTAGTGCTATTTCAACTATATTCTGGATTAAATAGATTTTTGTCAACGAGTCTGTACCAGGAGGTCATCTCCTTTGCCATAGGCAAAGTGGCCATTTGCCTCAGGTTGAGAAATAGGGAAATCGTTGAGTATGTCCTGTGCTCAAAAGGAGGCTATCCTCTGTTTTGGCAGTTTTAGCTAAAGGTTAGAATAAGTTGTGTGTTTTATTTTAGGAACAACTTGTGTTTTATAGATACTATTCACATAATAGGTGCTCAACTATTTGTGGAACATTGAATGAATTGAAAACTAATGGAGAAAAGTATTCTTTTTCATGTGTATGACTTCTCTAAGTCTTGGTAGGTTTTTAGTTTTGGACTTTCCTTTAAGTGGAACATTTTCCTAGTACTAGACATTGTTTTTGGTGGGTGGGTGGGGGTGCTGGGATTTGAACCCAGGCCCTTGAACATGCAGGGCAAACACTCTACCATCTGAGCTATATATCTTCAGCCCCTTAATACTAGACTTCACTTTGTTTTTTTTTGAGACAAGGTCTCACTGTGTTGCCCAGGCTGATCTTGGACTCCATGGGCTCTAGTGATGCTCTTGTGTAGCTGGGATTACAGGTACGTGCCACTATACCCAGCTACAATTGTTACTTCAATGTGTACTTTACGTAAAGCCACCATTCAATGGTCAAAATAGTAGAATGCAAGTTATCCTACTGTTTGGTAATAATGCACCAATAAAAAAGAAAAAACAAGACAGACACTAAAATAATTGATATTTATTTATTTATGTGCAAGAAATTTTATCGTTTTTTGTATGACATGGTTTTGTTAGCATGGTATGTAGTATTAATATTTGACTTAACCAAAATGATAATTAAGAACATTTATTTAACATTTCTTGAATGTACTCATATCCCGTGCCCTCAAGGAGTCAGCAGTCAGGAGAGGACACAAGATGGGTTCAAAGTGGCTAACTATTAACACAAGTAATACTTGACACATTTCCCTCCCTGCAAGGCATTTTGAGAGATAGTTTTCTTAGCTATGTGTTTCAGGCAATCATGGCAGAAGGAAAACAGCATGCTCTATGTGTTGGAGTCATGAAGATGTCTGCAGAAGATATGTAAGTCTCACTTTAGGCCCCCTTAGCTTTTGAGATATGGAGCCTAGGAAGTATCAGAATTACAGGTGAAATTTGCTCATTCATACCACATCTTACAAATTACTAAGCACAGAAGCCTAATTTTTGATGTTTCCTAACATTTAGAAAGCCATTGAAGCCTCTTTTGTCTTCAGTATTGCATTCTTCTTTTTTTTTTTTTTTGTGGTGCTGGGGATTGAACCCAGGGCCTTGTGTATGTGAAGCAAGCACTCTATCAGCTGAGCTATATCCCCAACCCCATTCTTTCTT